TATATATATATATATATATATATATATATATATATATATATATATATATATATATATGTTGCGTTTCATCTAATGTATGGTGTGTAACACTTCAGTGCGAGGGGAAGTTATTCCGAAGCGGTTTCTTTCAGTACTTGCACTAGTTTAGTGTCAGCACGAGGCCCCGTGGTACATTCTGTTCAGCACGACGACTTGAGCAGCAGAAGAGTCAATTCTTCCTGAATAAGAAATGGGGTTTGTATCTTTCAAGTGAACTTGATGAAACCTTTTCTGCCTGGATCCACGCAGTATGCGTGGCGCGAGGCAGAGGAAAATGTCACTGGCGGCAGTGCCGCGGAAACCTGACCGACATCCTGAACTCTAAACATTCTATATGTAGTGCATATGTGTTTAGCAGGAACATACTATTAGCACTTGTATAATATGGAATACCCCAGAACCTAGATGCAGTTAAGCCATTGAACTGTACACCCTCTTAACATATGCAGCTTATACGTAGATACCTACAGGCATATATGCGTAGAAAACTTTATCTCATCTGCAAACCGCACAATTTTGTAGCTCCCTCAGGCCGAGAACAATAGATACGGATCTGGATGTGGCTACTGCTGTCAGGTCGGTGTTATGAAACGCCACACAGCATTTTATTTGCACAGATTCTCGGCAAGTTGGCCCCGTGGGAAGTTTAAGACGGCAGTTGAGGCGTTTAACTTCGCATACATGCCAAGGAAGCAGATACACTAGCCCCTAGTCAGTGGTACACCTTGAGAAAGTTAGCAATTTCCAAGGGGGGTAAGATTCGATGAGTTGTGCACGTTTACGCACTTACCGGGATTCCATTGACTTAGCAGGGAGAGTAGTGCAGTGCATCAGCTATGGGCGTCTAATTTTGGGTGATTTGGTGAGGTTGAGAGAGAGGCGACAGTGGCTCGCTTCGTTCGTCCGCTGCTAAGGATATCGTGATGGGGCTGTGAATGCCGTTTGGGGAGTCGTGAATAATACTCTCTGAAGCACAAGATGGAGATACACTGGAGGATCGCCGTAGATTTGTGACTGACTGACTGATTGACTGAGGGCGCGCGGTGACTAAGGACGGTGTGTATAGTATTTCGGATGAAATGAAATAGCTACTTCGAAAGAGAGAACATTAAACATGGGGGCCTGCACTTTTTGCAGACCAAATGTCCTGTGCTGTTCAGCCATAACGCTCGTTGCACGCGCTCCATTGCACGTCCTGTCTGTGCCGCCTGACGGTTAGATTATCTACCTATTAAATACAATTTTGAGGCATTTAACATACACTTTCAATATTTTAACAGCATAGGATTACTGGGTTTACATGATTAACGCAGTTTTCCTCTACCTGTGTACACCAGCAATCGAACCAGCGGGCCCCTCTACCAGTCGGCCCGCTGCTGGGCCTATGTGCGCTTGTTTGTGTTTGAATGTGTAGCTTCAGTTAAATATTATGCATTATTTATATTATATATACCCATTAAAAATTGTTGCAAGTGCCGACGTGCTCACGGGATAGAAGATTGCAGACTTGGCTGCGTCGACCGGCGATCGGTTTTCCGTGATTGCCGCAAAAACTCAGTCTAACTCAACTCCTTTAGAAGAAGAGTTGCAGCTTCAGACATAATTCTACGACGTATCCCCTTCATAGAGGAGTGTAGCCGTGCTGCAGTCGTCTGGCTTGCGGCCTGGAGGGCCCAGCTATATTCATCATTGCCTTTTTCACTCACCAGAAGACGCTTATCCTTGCTCCTTTTCAAGACTTAACTGCCTACAGTTTCTTACTGCATATGTTGCTTTTCTTATAGCTGCAACACACGCCTGCTTTCAGCTGTCCTCTGATAGTCAGCTGCGCTGCTAAAAGGACAAAATGCCGCCCCTAAATCTTGACTTGCCGCGGGATTCGTTTACACGGAGGTCCACAGACCTCAAGGCAGGCGACTGGTGGATACTCGGGTCTACTGATTATGCTGTGGTCGGTGAGCGTCCCCTTTTTGATATTCCCAGTTCATGCACAGTCGACTCTAAGCTGCAAGACTGCAGAGTTTGTCTGAGCATGTCTGAGTGGACTGTGGACAATAAGTTTATCAATAGTCCAATTCGACAGATTACCTGAATGACGTCTGTTCGGAAAGCTTCACAACTATACAGCTGTGTGTGAATACTTTTGTGCGAAGTACAACGGGACGCCAACGCTAAGTGTCTCGAACCCTCCCGTTGCTTGAATTTGCAGACCCAACAAGGCCACGGACTTCAAGCGATCTTGTGCGGCGTTTTGAGAGACCGAAGCAACTCGCAGATGACTTGTACGATTCAGGCTGGTACGCCGCCAGCCCCGGTTCGAGGGTGTTCGGCTTCCCTGATCGGACGAGGTACAGCAGCTTCCGCATCCAGCAACAGCCTGAGTATGAGGGATTGAAAGGCGGTGACGTCTCCCGAGCCCTGCAAAATAAGTCCAGGTACACAAGGGACCCAGTTGCAGATGCGAAAGCGCCCAATCTTCTCCCGTCTGTTTCTCGCGGGCAGAGTTCCTTCATCAGCGTTCCTGCCCGCAAAAGTTCGATTTATGTTCCAGGCGGCTCTTCAACCAATGTGACGTACCATGCAAATGTGCCCTCCTTTCGCGCCATTGTGAAACAAATGCAAGAAGATTCTCAACGCCGTCGCCCTAGCGAAATCAGTATACTGTCACCGGAAGGGCAGAGCAGCACGGCAAGAATACCCAGCATTTACTCCGCAAATACTGAACTCACGATCAGCTTTACAAGGAACTCCAGCTCCGGAATTAAGGATGAGTTGAACCCACGAAGTGGGACGGGAAGCATCAGCTCCATGAGCTCGACAGATTCCGTATACCACAAGCTAGCACGAGAAAGGCTCAAGAGAAGCTTCACTCGCCTGGCTTCCAGAATGAGCACTTCAGTTTCCCGTGGACAGGTAGAGGAATCAGACGCGGATGTAAGTTTCTCTCCCATGTCCTTTAATATCCTTAAACGAGGCGGGGGGGCAAGCAGCGACTTTTTCCGGAACCCTTTTCTGCCTTGCGTGCGCAGGTACCCCCAAAGGGAGATGGCGTGGACCCTGCTGTTACCGAAGTCCGCCAACAAACAGTAACTGTCCTGAAACAACTGGAAGAGAACGCTCATCTGGTACACAAGGAAATGCGTAACTTGCAGAGGGCCGCTGAAGTTGCAGAGGAGCTGGCGTCTCAAGTGAAACCTGAATTAGAAGCGAAAAAGCGTCGGGGTGGATCGCTGAAAATGCCAAGCGGTCCACGAGATCGATTGGGTATTGGCAACCTGCAGGTGTTTGGGTTAGAGATTGTAGAGCCTCACGCTGCTATGACAGATACTCAGCTCCAGGAAGTGCAGAAAGCAGCGGAGGCTGCACGAGAGCAGCGCCAGAATCGACTTGAAGCCCTTAAGCGGCTCCAAGACCATTTAACCATTGCCCGCGGTGAGCATGTGCTGACACAGCTGTTCGGCTGCGTTTTTTTCTTCATATACAACCCTATATGCTCTTCCGTCCCTCTCCATAAAGGATCAAAATGCACAACTAAGCTCTGGGCCCCTCACTCCGCCTTGAAGTTACAACCCAAAACGCACGCTTGTTATCCTTTGTTCAATAATATTCCATAGTAACTACGGTGGAGCAGTCCCTCCCTTGCGTTGTTTGCCTGCTTCAGAATGCCAAGAAAAATTCAGAAGAGCCCCACCATCTACAATATCTGCTGCATTCAACACCTTCGATATGGTAGCGGGGCACTGGTCAAGTTGGGATCCGCACGCGCCTTTGCTTCTGCCGGTGGCGCTCGCGGCTCTCGCTTGTACAATGTCAGTTTCACTGCGCTTGGCTCTCTGGTTTGCTCCATGCCTATTACACTGCGTCTAACCGTCTGGTCTGGTATCTATTCGTTTGTCAGCACGTTTTGTTGCGGGGCCAAATGACGGCTCATCGTTGTGGCAGCCGACGGGGAGCTTACATATCAAGAGCAGTTTCTCTTGTGCTTTCTGTTTGTGCTCATAGGGCATACGACGTTTGCGCCACCGGTTCCACTGAGGTAGCAGCTCAAACCCTTGCAAGCTTATTGTTCCATACTGGTTCAGGGAAAGCAGCTGAAAAAATGGTAAAGCGCAGTTTACGGCATTCTGCAATGCACGATTCCATGTTGGAACACAAGGCACTCGTTGAGAGAATGGCTGTGAAGATGCTTGCTCTGGTCCTAGATCACGACGCCAGGTCAAGTCGCCGTGCTTCCTCCCAGCTACAGGTTCCGCGAGGAGAGCGCAGTGCCCCTGTGTTGACCAGCACGCAAGATGGGGCTAAAGATCCCACAGGTGCAAATGCACCAAAGCGAGCTTGCTTCTTCAACATTGTATCTGTGGCTCAGGAGGCAATCTTGGCTATCCATGTACGTCAGCGTACCTTGTCTCTATTTGCGCTTAGTTTTTACTCTACACCATTGTTTTTTGAATTCAGTGCGCTGCTAGAGTCCATGGCATTGCTGCTAAACTACGTGTTTCTGGCAGTGCAGTGACGTGTTGGAGATGTTGGCATCTAAGCAATATTTGTGAAACGCGTTTGCATGTTACGCTACTCTTCAGGAGGCCGGCGGTCGCCGAGGGAAACCCGTGTCTCTAGAGCGCGAAGCAGAACGGAATCGCGACCCAAGAATTAGTCGCAATGAAAGAGCTCTGTTGGTGAAGCTGGAGTTTGCGTTTTTGGAGCTGCGCTTGCTCCTGAACAGACTTATGGCTCTTCGCCTGGCACTCAGCGAGCTGGGGTGCACGCAGCACGCATGGGAGCGAATCAATGAGTTTAACGTACGCGTAGCGGATTTTTTAGGCGACCTGAAGCATACCGGCACACAAGTGGACTGACATGCTGCAACATTGGTTTGCAAGGCGTTATATACAAATTTTTTTGTTTGTACAACCTTGTATCCCCCTGGCTCTAGCTTTTCCCCTACAGTGATATTGAGTGCTGCGCTCCCCATTGTCCCCTCTTCGCCGCATATTTGATTATTAGGTTCGTTTGTCAGCGGCACAATTTGTACAGAAGCCGTTCGCCCGGCTTCAGCAGGTATTTGCATCTTCGTTGGTAAACAACCGATCGTACGTGAACGTTTCGCCGTTTGTTCTTTTGAAAGCCCTGCCGCGTTACATCTAACACGCTACACGGTTTTTTTTTTCAAATGCTTCCATATTGCGAGCGCGAGCGTGAGGGAGTAGTGTACAGTGGCGTATACGGTGGCGACGCCGCGCCACATGCCCAAGCCAAAAGGTTATTTGCGCAAGAAGGCTCTCTCGAATGTATTGCAGCGCAGAATCCCTCGTGGAGCTAACAAATGCAGGCGTTGATTACAGTCCTGTTTGCCGTTGGGTCTTGCTCCAAATGTCATGCAAATGCATATTAATGCATTTTTATGCATTGTAACACTGTTGAGAGGAGTGTAAAATCAGACGAAGAGGAAACGTGGAAATATTAGCATTCGCGCCGTTTCATCTCCTGCAATCGTCGTATCAGCATTAAGCCACGAAATGTTGTGTTCCCACTAGAAGCAGAAGAAACTAAAGATGGAATATTTTGGCATTCTCATATTCACATTTTGCCACATAAAGTGCGGCTGACAGTTTCTCGGGGGCCTGTATTCTCATCGGCACTGGATCCCTTCCCTTCATCCACTCACAACAAGATAAGCAAAAAGGATAGTAGCAACTTAGCTCGCCATAAAGCAAGCACATGCTGAAGTACAAACCGCTAAAGTATGACTCCGAACGGCGCACCCGACTATGTAGCACGACTGAGCTTTCCTGTAACGTGCTCTGAAGTTGATCCATGGCACTTTCTGCGCGCAGCCTAGCTTCTGATAGCCAATCAAACGTTTAACCGTTGTCTGCAGTGTCAGGCAAGTATAAAATAGAGGATGTTAGCAGCAACTGTAGCTCTCCGGGTGCATTTTGAAAACAAATGAACACCTCTGGAGGAGCGAGGAGCCCCTTCAGTGCCACGCTTCGATGCGACAGCCACTGGCAAGGGCAGAGGTATTCATATTGCAGTATTCTCGCTGTAACATGAGTTAGCGCAGAGTTAGCTGAGGAGCCTATTGACAGCTTTGGCATGCTGCGCGTAAGC